AGTCTGGTCTTCTTCTTGCCACGCTTAAAGACGTCGTTAGTCTTGATCGCTGTTTGGGGAAAAATGTGGTTGCTAGCAGAGGTTCGGGCATTCCGTTTTGTTCTATTCCTGCTCATCCCAGATATCTCCTCCATTCCACTTTCTCGGGATCATAAATACAGAGAAACTTGGAGGTGATAACGTACTTAGGGGCGGGCTCTGGTTGAACTTGTCAGCCTGTCAGACTCCTCCAAAGCAAAGCGAAAGTGGAGGTGAAACGTCAGCAGCGGACCTTGCCTTTTCCTAGTGCAAAGTCGACAAGCTTTCTCGAAGCCTTTTTAGGGCTTGAACCTCGTGGAAAGTCCATGGCTCAACGAATCGAACAATCTCGCTGCCCGAGTTACGCCGCGTGCCTGGTGGTGGGCCAGCAGGCATTGGACGGAACGGCCGAGGACAAAAAGTCAATTTGCTTCACTCCCAGCCACTGTGTGAGGACACACCAACCCCCCGTGCCTCTCCATTCGGCTGCCTGTTTCCTGTGGTCTGTACGGCTGCAGCCATAACTCTTATCTCTGCGTGTCGCCAACAACATTCGTGCGAGACATCGGTTTCTGTCTCAAGTATCTTCAGTCGTAGACCAACAAGTCATCGTCCTCAGGAGTTGCTAATGGAATGTACAAGGCATCTCACACCGACGAGCCCTTCGAGGGTGACGGCTACAACCAGAGCCCCAATCCAAACTCCAACGACCTGACCATCAACGAGGACTTCAACAACCTCGTCAACAGTCGGGCCGAGCGAGAAAGCGACTCGCAGACACTCAAAACGCAGCCTCGAACGTCCCAAGGCAATTACCCAGCGATGCTTATACCGAAAACGACGGTTACGGCAAGGCCACCTACCGGCTGGCTCAGCGGTCAATTGATCGTGGCCAGTCCCTAAGGGCGGTTTGCAAATATCTGCAACCGCCCACCCCCTGGGTTGTCTGCGAGCTTCGGTTGTGGCTGACGCCGCCCGCGTCGCGCTGCCCCAGCGCGTCAGGAAGATGCTCGCTACCTTTGGCTCCTTCATCGGGCCGGGCTTTAGGATTTCGGTTGCCTACAGTATGTTCAGGAAGCTCTCATCCCGCAGTCTTCCCCTTCACCTAACTTACATGCGTGCATCCAGTTGGTCCAGGCAATTACTCGACCAACATCGCCGCAGGAGCCTCGTACTCCTTCCGCCTATTGTTCATCGTCCTCCTCTCCAACCTATTTGCCATTTTTCTCCAGAGCCTGGCAATCAAGCTCGGCACCATCAGTGGCTTGAACCTCGCCGAGGCCTGTCGCGCCTTTCTCCCGCGATGGCTCAACTACATCCTATACGCCTTTGCCGAGGCTGCCATCATTGCCACGGATGTAGCAGAGGTAGGCCCCTGATTCACTCCCAATTCGTATCTTATGCGTCGACAAGTGCTGACTGACCAGGTGATTGGATTTGCCATTGCATTAAACCTTCTAATCCCGCAGGTACCGCTGGTCGCCGGGTGCGCCATTTCCATCATTGACGTAATGGTAATCCTGCTCTCCTACCGCCCAGAAGGGTCCATGAAGGGCCTACGGTACTTCGAAATGTTTATCATTTCCTTGGTTCTCGTCGTGGTCGTTTGCTTTTGCGTCCAGATGTCTCTGATCCGTGTCACTACCCCCGGTTAAGTCTTCAAGGGTTATCTTCCGTCAAAATCTCTTATTGAATCGGAAGCGCGAGTTCTAAGTCCCTCCATCGCCTTCGTACTCGCTCTAATGCTGTCCCAGTATTTATCAGGCCTGCGGAATTCTCGGGGCAACAGTCATGCCTCACAGTCTTACCTAGGGTCGGGCATTGTTCAACCCCGCCTACGCGAATATGATGAGCGAAGTAGGCTCTTGCCTCGTCAGCTTACATCGGGGTATTCGGTTCTAGATGATGGTATCGACAAAGGCTACTATGTCCCGTCCTTGGGCGCAATTAAGCACTCGCTCACGGTCTCGATTCTCGAGCTGGCCATTTCGCTCTTCACATTCGCCCTCTTTGTCAACTCCGCCATTCTCGTCGTTGCCGGTTCCTCGCTATACAATAACCCGGATGCCCTCGACGCCGATATCTTTGGTATTCACGATCTGCTCTCCAAGTCTATCTCGCCCGCGGCAGGTATCATATTCGCTCTGGCGTTGCTGCTATCGGGAGTCTCGGCGGGAATCGTCTGTACCATCGCCGGCCAGATGGTTAGCGAGTGCTCACCGAACTGGAAGATCAAGCCGTGGCTGCGCCGCCTCGTGACACGCAGCATCAGCATCACACCAAGCATCAGCATCACACCAAGCATCAGCATCACACCAAGCATCAGCATCACACCAAGCATCAGCATCGCCGGAGCCGTGGGTCGCTCGGGGTCAATGCAGCACTTAATGGGTCGCAAGTGGCGCCGAGCATCATACTGCCGTTTGTTACCGCACCCCTCAACTACTTTACCTGTCGCGATAAATATATGACGGTCCACCCCGGCAGAGCGCGCTGGCGCGTGGCGGGGACGACGAGAGTGAGGTGAACCAGGTAATTGGAGAGGGAGCCGAGCTCGAACGCGAACGTATCAAAATGACCATCTCGTGGTACACAGCGATCCTCGCCGTTTTGATTTGGCTTTTCATGTCGATCATGAACGTGGCTAATCTGGTATTCCTGGGCAAGTAAATGTTACGGTGCCGTAGTAGCTCGGTGAGGAGCAGCTGTGGGAGGGTCAGTGGCCCAGGGAGAGGTATTCACATGGCAATTCCGTTATTGCTCCCAATCGAAATCAGGTTGTGCGCACTTGATTTTTGTTAATATGGAGCGCAACCCTGCGCTGCATGGGTGGAACAATGGGGGAATTGGTTCAGGGATGACGAAATTCGGGAAAGAGGAGGCGAGGAAGGATGGAAGTGCCCGTCATAAGAAATGGCGCTCGGCAATTTCTCTGTCCCGAGCCGTCATATCCAGCAACTTCATGTATTCAATCCGCACAGTAGGGTTCTGGTAATGGAAAGTGTCCAAGGGAGTAAATGAGCAATGAGAGGCGCTGATGTGTGGTATTAAATGTATGGGTATTTCAATAATCTACTCAATCAGCTCCTCTACGATGTTTCGAAACTAGCCAAATCAGAAATAGATTAGCATGTACGGAAATAAAAATTATGTAGGATGGCGAATCTGATTTCGAACTTGGTTGTACTCCTGCTGGCAAACTTGTGCAAACGCAGTGAAGGCTCGACACGGGCATTGTACCGTAAACGCAAGAGATCAATTTCACTTCTAATTTAACAGGAATATCCTGTATAGCTAGGGAAATACAATGGATGTACTAGGCGATTGGCGCAACGGAATCAAAAAGGGGAACTACCCAAAAATGATGAGATCAAAAGAGTGTTGATTCCTGCTCCCCCTATCTACTGGGAACGAGGGGGTTAAAATAGCCTCGAGAATACCTGGTATCGAATCCTCTAGAATCCCAGAGGTACCGTTTGGGTCAATACGATGCTGATCACCATTTTCCTGACATAATTCCTGTCCAAGCAAACGGCCGAATGCCCATTGATGATTAGTTGTTGGACGTCTAGACTGGGTCAGCGCAAGTCTTGCTTGACCTGCTACTGTCACATATTTTGTATGAAATGGCTCTTGGGTAAACTAGTGCAATCGGTTGCCTTTACAGTTCAAAGTTGAACCGCAATGATAACCGGTTCAACTGCGACTGACCGTCTCGACCGCGATCTGATCCGTTGCCCCACGTGAACCGTGCGCTGACGTGTGTATCCGATCCATTTTCCTCCTTTGAACGTTCGTAATATTTTGTATCGAACACTAACGCAACGATCGGATCAAGGATATCCGTATCCACATGAAGCCCGATCCAGTAATTGATTTTGAAGTGTATTTCCAGGAGTAACATGGCTGCCAGATCAGATTGTGGCATTATTTAGCGCCGAAAGCCACAATTGAAGGTATGACCAATCGAGAATCTGCTATGCGGTTCCAGGAGCTTTGCGCGTTTAGGTTTGTCGGTAAAAAATCCACTAATACCTTGCTGATATGATAATATCCGTCAAGCATTCTCTACGTCTAAGTAGAATACTGATACAGGGTCGGCCCTCTCCTTTGGAGCTTGACAGTGGTAACTAGTCCACAGACAACCCGCGAGATGGCTTCACCTTTCGAAGTCTGACATTTAATGGATTTAGTATCATGAGAATACGTGATATGGCAAGATCAGTTTGCTTGAGCATTCAAAGAGGGGCATAGCCGCGTAATAAGCCACAGGTTCGTGAAGTCCCTCTGGGTACTACACAGACCACTTAATCTCAAATTAGCCTTCCGTTGGTGCCAACATACACTGACAGAGGTGTATGTCAGGAGTGAGATGCAACGGCACTGCAGCCGTAGCGCTGGATGACAGCCTAGAGATTACAGAATCATCACATGTTCAGGTCTAGCCGATAGGCCAATGGTCCGTATACGCCGCCGAGCTGATGGAACATTATCAACAAGCATGACCGAATTCTCATAGAAATAGCCGAAATCGAAACCGCATGTGGTCAAGGGCTCAAGTCTCTCAGATACAAACAGAAGAAACCAATATTGAATCGTGAAATATGGATGCAATCAGGGAGCATAGGTGCATCAACGTATGCCCCGACACACGACACAGTATAGGGCTTGGGTGAACGTTGATTCAGGACTTGAATAGACCCATGAGAGTAGAACCACCCTTCGATGCCGTTAACACAGCCATAAAGATATAAGAGGCTGTCAGTCGAGATATACCAGAAAAGACAGCGGTGTAAAGCGAGACGCTGCATAAAACCAAAGCTCCAAACCCTCCAATCACCAGCACTCGTTCTCTCTTCTCTCTTGGCCAGGTTATCAAATAAGTGGCACAGACCACCCCGCCCAGTGTGACTCCCAGGAAAATGTGCAACCATCAGAGACCCTCGACTTCACCTCCACCCGCCCAGTCGCAAGTAGCAACTTCACCACCGCCTCATGCCCATACTTTGCGGCCCAAAATAGTGGTGTTGAACCGTCAGATTCCTTTGAGTCCCCGTCCACCTGTCCAGTCTCAAGTAACAGCTTCACTACCCCTTCATACCCATTCTCTGCGGCTAAGGACAATGGAGTCCGACCGCCCGAGTCCTTCGAGTTCACATTCACTTCGCCGGTCCCAAGTAATATCTTCACCACCTCCTCGTGCCCATTCTCCACAGCTGAGGACAATAATGTCCAACCGTCCAAGTCCCTCAAGTCGACGTCCACCCTCCCCGTCTCCAGTATCAGCTTCACCACCGCTTCGTCGCCATTCCACACAGCCCTAGACAGTGGCGTGCGACCGTCCGAGTCCTTCGAGTTTACATCCACTTCGCCGGTCTCAAGTAATATCTTCACCACCTCCTCGTACCCATTCTCCACAGCCTCAGACAAGGGCGTGCAACCGAGGAAGTTCTTCGAGTCGACATCCACCCGCCCAGTCTCCAGCAAAAGCCTTACGACCGCCTCGCGACCCCTTGACGCAGCGTGAAACAACGGCGTGCGACCGTCGGAGTCCTTCCAGTCGACATCCACCCACCCAGTCTCCAGTAACAGCTTCACCACCGCCTCGCGGCCCCTTGACGCAGCGTGAAACAACGGCGTCCAACCGTCGGAGTCCTTCCAGTAGATATCCACCCGTCCGGTCTCCAGCAAAAGCCTTACGACCGCCTCGTGGCCCTTCCACGCAGCCCAGATCAGGGGTGTCCTGCCAAAGCCATCGATCGCCCCAACATTAGCTCCTTCCGAAACGCAGGTTCGAGCCGTCGCCACCCTTCCTCGTTGGGCAGCCCACAACAGCGCCGAACGTCCAGACTGCAGTGAATTGCGTCGATATAAGTATGGATTGAGGAGAGAATAAGACTGCTGGTTAGTTTTAGCCAATGAGTTAATGTCTCTTTCTCTTTCTAGAAAGTCTGCAACGAGGAGCAGCAATTCGGAAGGCAAAAGAAGAAGAGGCATCTTCTCGTTTCCTCTCGTGACCTTGAAGACGCTGGATTGTGGTCGCAAAGGAAATCGAGATTCCTAAAGATATTCTGGAAAGTTTGCCCAAAGCCATATCTTCGGGAGCTTCCTAGCCCATCAAGATCGTGGACTCGGGCATTAGGCGGGATTGAAGTGGAGATTGTTGCCTGGATCAATGGTGGTCGTCGGGAGAAGACTGGCGCTCCTCCATCCGAAGAGCTCGTAAATAAGCTGTCTCTTCGAATCACCCCAACTCCTAGTACACCTGATACCCGGACCTGCACCCTGACACTTTCGGTAAGCCAAAGGGCCACGTTTCTATCGCTATTACCCTCTAGATAAACTTCGGCGGCCGCCTAAAAGAGTACCCGCTTCGGACGAATCAGACATTACTATATCTTACTTTCTTCGAATGCCAGTCTCACCAAAGGATATAGAATATGTTCTCGGGATTATCCTCATTTGTTGCATGGCTGTCTGACAAGAGTATGTCTTTATTTGCTCAAGCTTTCACAACTCTGGCCAAGTACCTCTATTGTATATATATTCGTATATATATATATTTTTTTTTACCTTTTTTCTTTTACACTGAATCATTTAATGAAGGATTTGGAGAGATGTGGGGTAGATGGAATAATCCGCTAGTGAAAGTGTCTTTCCCTAGTGCTGAGAGAAGCTTCCGCTAGTAAAAGCGTTTTTCCCGGTTAATTAAGACTTAATCTAGCGATAAGCGAAAAGACGGATTCAAACCTCGGGATTCGCCCCCTTATCCCCACTTCTTATTTTGTTTTGCCACGTGGAGGTAGGTGGTGGGGCGTTTACAGAACCAAACCGGACTGATTCTCGGACACATTGAAGCTTTTTGTAGTTAGAACCCTAATCGTAGCATCCAGGAACCTATGAGATTTGTTACGTATCACTAAATAGATCTCTGCTTTAGGAACTTGGGCTTACACGTTCAGCTTGTTCTATTTAGATTTTCCATGTCGTGAGAGTGAGCAGGGCATTGAGCACGTAATGAGATAATCCCTATGTTCATCCTGCTTACTTCGTACCCATTTTATGTTTTATCTTAAAGCTAGTGGGTGGTGGCGATGATGAGGTTTCGGATAAAAAGGATGACTTTCTGGTTGCGGCAGACCAGATGAATCCGCGAATGAAGGACCGCCAATTGACCCGGGACCAAGAAAGGTCAGCCCACACACTCGGGGGTGAGCATCAGCCAGTCCGGCGCCAAATCAAAGGATTCAAGCATGTCTCCGATCGTCATCCGGATCATGCCAATGATGTTCGAGAGTAGGAGAGCGCAGAAGTAAAGACTGCGGTAGCGTTTGGAGGCGCGCAAAATGAGGATAAAGAGCTCCAGACCATTGTATGAGGCAACCGCTGTGAATACAATCCCGCTGATTCTGGTGACGTCCCTCGGCTGCGGAAATCCAGGCTGGAACATAGCGACATGTGGTTTTCCAGTTTAACGTCGAACGGGGGAGCAGGCTAAAAGCGGTTTCCAGGAAAAAAAGGAATACACAAAGCACTTCCCTCATATAACTATCCATTGGAGCGAGGAAGATTCCCACAACAAATAATGTCGAAGTGAGCAGTAATACTTTACCGCTGAGGACTGGAGATTTGATGAAGGACTCGAGCCCGCACTGTTTTTGTGTGTTCATGAGGCACCCCTCCAAATACCGGCGCCATAACACGCTGGACCAGGCACTTAAGTCATGAGACACTTCCTATAGTGCTCCAGTTTGGTCTACGAAGCATAATCCAATCCATTAATCTCTATGAGCCATCCCTTATACTAGTATGTACAGATATCATATGATTCGACAAAACCTAATCAATGGTAACAATTGAAAAATGGAACCGACGCCCATGGGGAAGTTAGAAATTGAGTATGAGCTCTTTAACTTTATGATGAAAGAAAAGATAATTAATATATGTACTGTCAAGCCCAAGGCGTTGCAATGCTTCTCGCAATGACGGACATCCGACAAGGTTCATATCAACGGGTTGGTCTATCGACAGGGGCTTGGCCTATTCTGATAAGAGCTTAGCTTGGTGGCGAACTAGACTTTGCTTCCATCCAAGTATCATTGTTGGAGCGACTAGGATGAGGCAGTATAAATCATTTGCACGACCCGCTTTCCTATTTGAGACTAACATCCCATATAGGCTGCGACACATCCGCCTTGCAAATTGCGGAGTTGCAAATCTTACTTATCTTACGGAGTAACAAGAAAAGGAAAACTATAACCGTTAGTCCTCAAGCGCTTTCCCCTTCAGTTGTCCTCAATGTCACTCCTTGGCCTCGGCTTATTCTACTTTGGCTAGGTATTTAACGGACCATAGCCGACTTAATTTAATAAGGTAGGCCAACATGCAGTTAGCAACTAACTGTTGGGAAGAAGAGAAAAGGAAACGTTTCGATGGGAAAACGTGGTGGAAACTCTGTTGGGTGTGGGAGCAGAAAACCATGAAAAACGAAGAAGATAACGAGAAAGCCGCATGGCCACATCGGCTCTGGCCCGTTTCAGGTATGGCCGCCTGTTGCTCCGTGCTTTCGTGTCTGATACTATATAGTTAGCGATGGGCTCGCGTTCAAATCTGTTCAGTCACACTCGAACCTCGTCGGTCACACTCAAGATGGTGGCGTTCGTGGATGAGAGATATTGGCATTCGAAAGCCGTGGTGCTTTCCACGGCAGTTTGTGTCACGCTCACAACTCTAATGGTCTTTATCGTGTCAGCACGCATCTTCCTCCGCCTTCGCAATCGTCAGATTGGTGCAGATGACTACGTTATGATATTTTCGATGGTGAGCCTTGGGCAAAGCGGTATCAGCCTTTTCTCCGATCTAACACGCAAAAAGGTCTTCTGTATTATCTATAATATCCTTGCTATAATTCGGGAGTACCCAGTTTATCTGTCCCGTCGTGCTTTTGACTAACATTCCTATAGAGACTAGATACGACCCAGGAGCCCCAAAGAAAACGGAAGCCAATGTGGAGGACACAAAATACGCAAGGGTAATGCCCTTGTCCGCTTTTGTATCATTGACGAGACTAAAGCTAAAGTCCAGATCAACTTCGCTGGGCGATTTTTTTATCAAATAGGCATTGGTGGCTTCAAAGTAGCGCTATGCGTCAGTTACTTGCGCCTTGTATCACGGACAACGCGAACCACTTATGGATTTATAATCTGGATGGTCCTAGCAATTACCATCCTTGGACACTCTGCCAGTACTTTTGTCGTTCTTTTCAACTGCAAGCCAGTAAGCCAGCCATACTTCTTAGAGTCAAGCGGGGAAACTAATTTCTACAGATCAGTTTGTCCTGGGATCCTACAGTTCCAGGGAAGTGCTTGCCGTCTGGACCAATGAATTACAGCAGAGCTGGCGTTGGTATTGCGTGTGATGTCATTATCATGCTTTTGCCTATCCCTCTTCTTTTAACCCTAAATATTGAGCGGCTTCAGAAAGTGGGCGCTATATGTTTATTCCTTTTGGGCTTCTTCACGACACTTTGTTCGGTATTGCGCCTTATTCAAATCCCAACTCTGGGGAAAGGAGACCCGACAATGTTTGTAATTTGGAGCACAGCCGAATTTAATGTTGGAGTAAGTAGCAACCTTACGCCGTCAGGTGCATTGAAAAGCCATGGGAGATTCTGGCTGACTCTTAATTCGCCAGAATGTGGTATGCAGTCTTCCATATCTGCTGCCAGTTTTAAAGACATCCTTGCGAAAATTTTGGTCAAGTATTGGCAGAAGCAACTTCACTTTCGGGACTGATAACTATGAATTGAGTCAGTCAACAGGGGACCCTCAAAAGCTGACTGAACCCTCATCCAATCCCTTGAGGATCCGACAGACGCAAAGGGACTCAGAGTATAATATTCAGAAGACCATTCATTTCGAAGTTTCTGTGGACATTGCGTCAAGGACAACTTCAAACATTGACAGAAATAGTGGAGGTTCACCCGGCCAAACAAAGACAAACCACGAGATATCATAGCTGCCGAGGGGCTGCCGAGAGACTACGGTCCGGAAAGAGGGTCCCTTATGGACGGGAGTTCGAGGCATGTTACGCAGGTAGTAGTCGCTGATTAATTTACATGTCGGACATTTGAAAATGTCGCTTGCTGAGCACATATTGAAAACACCGTTTGTCGCATCTGCACAAAGTCCGAGGTATACTTTATCCGAAATCTCGCAAGGGGGAGAATGCGCGTAGTTCTTTTGACACTTGACTGAGGCATTCTGATCCTCCGGCCTGCATTTCTCCGTGCTCATCACCTTCCAAGCCGCATTAGCCTAGCGTCGTTATTTAGCTTAAACTTTATGTGGAGGGAGCAGGCAATCAAAGCAACTTGATATCCTACTTGGTAAGTCTCACACGTGGACAAGGTGAGTTTAGTTTGCGGTTTGACTGGGCCCAACCAGCTGTCCTGCTCCGCAAACATGGCCCACTGCGATGGATTTTCTTTTCTGGTAATTTGACCCTATAATCCAACCACTACATCACCGAAGCGAGGGGGTTCGGGGAACAATGATTAGTCGCGATTAGTAAATAGTAGTAATTGACAGAAATATGCAGTACGACAATATATGTTACCCCCCAGGTTTAAGTATGTAACATCTCTAATTAAGACTCTAACTAACTAAGATGACAGATCGTAATTCACCATTTTGGAGGGCGTCCTCAGTTGACAAGCTTCCTCCAAGCTTTCTCTAAGCCTCAGTAGGGCTAAAGCCGAGAAGGACCAGCCGTGGGTCCGCGAACCGAAGAGTCTCGCTGTCCATAGGTAGTATGCCACGTGACCTAGAGTGGGACCAGCAGGCGTTGGACGAAAGGACCGAGTTCGAAAGTCAATCATTTCACAACCAAAATAGGATGCGGTTCACTTCCCAGAACCTTGATCTCAGGATATTTCAGACAAAACAGTCAATACCAATACTTTCCTGAGCTGGGGCGTCGCCTGTTCTGAGTTATACACGGCTGACCCGGTTGCTGCGAATGTACCACGTATAGTCCCCGCTGCGGCATATTGTACGATTTGGATATCCAATAAATATCCGCTTCTGCCTAAATCTCGCTCATGTATTCTATTGTAGACTATCATACGACTCTTACACCGCTGACAAACTCCTGTTTTTAATTATACTATATAGTTGTACCATTGTCGACAGCTATGTCCGCTGCCATGCCCGCTACTATGCCCCCTATTGTGTCGGCAAATATGCTACCGTCGGGTAACAACATTATCCCTTTCCATCTACTTCTAAAGATCACTCATTGAATAACTCGACGTTACAAAGTAACAAAAATCGCATCGTATAGTGGGGTGGCTTGACAAGCGATAAAACCAAAACTTTCAAATTACTTCCGACCGCACGCGAAAAAGCATTCATATATCCTCTGTCAAGGAATTGCTCATGTTGCGGGTTGCTTGTACACAACTCCTAGGAACAGTGCTACAACGCTAGGAGGTCATTTATCACGTAAGCAGATCATTAGTTTGCCGACTTTTCACACCTTACGGTACACTGATGAAAATGACCAATCTTGCATCAATGTATGGGAACCAGGGACGGTAGAAGAAAGCCAAGCGGCTTTTTATACAGGTGATAGAGAGGAGCAAGATAAAGATTGGCGAGGATTATCCCGACACGCTTTCGAGTATGGCCGTTATACAGGTATGAGTTCAACACCATCATCCCCCTGTCTCATGAAATATGCCCATTTGTCGCCTGCACGTACAATAAGCACCAGCGGTACTGTAGCTATAGTTCACCGCTTATTCGACATAATACCAATCCTCCCCGCAATCATTTACACATCCAGCATCTGCCCACGCATCTGCGCTGATCTCGTGATCAGAGTTCGCAACACACTTCAGGTAATCAGTCTCCTTTCCATAATAGCCTGGGTATGTCATCTCGTGGTGGTCTCACTTACAAGTAAATATGCATAGCCATTGTCTGTCTCCCCAGGAGATGCCCACACTGTGGAAGTCTTATTAATACAGACGGATGAAAATTGGATACGTACTAACCTGTCTTATAGCCCCCAGACGGTACCATCTGGTTACAACAGTCTGTAGTCTTTCTGACACTCCAGCCATTACACCACTGTTGGAATTTTTTGCCGTCAGACACTCTAAGACTAAGTCAGCATGTTGTGCTGGTGTATGGCAGTGGTACAGTAGACCTTAAGAGTGCAGAGAATAAAGTAAAGCTTAAAACTGAGTAATGCATAGTCGTTGTGAGTAAGGTTGGCTTGCTACTGTAGGATGGACGCAAGAGGTTCTTTTACATGCTAACATCGCAGGAAAGCTCCGAGATATATAACAAGTTCATGGACGCATGCATGTGCGTTAGCAAGCACATTGATGCGCTACAAGCTGCAATCGTAACCCCTTCCTTTCTCCACGCCTATTTGCATATAATAATACACTTCCCTAAAGCTCCGGGTAGAGCGCCACCGTAATAGAATCGGAATGTTTTGTATCACAGGTTAGCTTGAACAATAACCTTCCCCACATTGCATATAATTGTAGGCTGTAAGGCGAGACTTTCACCGCTATGTCCTCGCTTGCGTCAATCACGCTCATCGTCGTGCCAGATAGCATATTAGCTTGAAAGAGTCGCAGTCGAAAAAAGTTGGCACGGCCTATTGGGCTAATTGCAAGCTACTGCGGAAGTAATGTCTTCAAGGGCAAAGTGCTCTTTTAAACCCTGTTCGGGAGCTCAATATGGAAACACTGGACTAGTCCTACACCTATGGGAGTTCTTGGGCTTAATTCATCAGTTTCTGAGTCTGCTTTGGTGTAATGCGGAGAAGACGCGTAATAGTGGGGCGTGTTACAGTGCTGGCGCAAGCCATTGCGGGGCCCCATTGTAACACAGGGCTTGGTGAGGGGCCCCGCGAAATATGGTAAGTAGGAGAATCTTACTAATACACCAAGGGTCCGAAGTGTAACTTATGGAATACAGCTCATTCAGGGAAATTAAGTCTACCTGCTTTGGCTATTGCTTGCAAAAGACATCTTACTAGGCTAGAGAGTCACTCTAGACACTTAAATGCTCAGTTCCAGAACTTGGACAGCAGTCATAGTGTAACTTCATTTGTATTCCAGGTAGATTATGCAATTCGCTTACAATTCGATGCCAGAAGGCTGTGAGTAGGTCTCCCGATAAATGCAAAAAAAAAAACTATATAAACTGCTTCTTCCTTGTACAGTATGATTTAACTATGCAGGTGCAAAAGAGAAGCTTTGCCTCCGAACTCGTGATCGTGACCTAAACTCTTTACTCAGTTAACCGCCTGGTTGTTATATTATTTTAAACTATGATATACCTTCGCATCTGGCTGTTGCTTTGTGGACTGACCATCAAGCTGGCCAGCTGTGGTGTATTGCATGCAAAGGAACACGCCTTGTCCATGAACCAGAACAGCCAAACTGCCAAGATCGAAAAGACACGCTTATTTACGGAAGCGGGTTTCCCTGACGGCATTGATTCTGTAAGCAACGAACTACTTGAAAGAAGGGATCGGTCAGTGCTCTACCACGAGTGGTCAATGGATTCTTGTATTACACTTCTTAGGCCTTCTTCTCATACATTGTTGCAGACACAAGGGCCAGCTAATGGCTAGAAGTTGCAAAACAAGAAATACCGAGGAAATCACCTCGTACTATGTCATCAAAGGTTATCAGCATCAAATGAGTGATGATGAGTGTGGACCAGGCACAATCACATCAGCCACTTCTCGGTCCTTCCAGAGAGGCTTTGCCGTTCAGCTCGGTGTTTTTCATGTGAGTAAACCACTCTACCTTACTGTGTATACAATATTTAACACAAGCACGAAGCCTACAAGTTATCTTGCAGATGCTGTCGAAAAGGTTGTGCCCTCTGGTCAATTCACCCAAGCTTCAGGGTATGTTCATTTATTGCGTCAGCTGGGAGGGAAAAATCTAGATATTGTACTGAGTATTTGCATCAGAACAGTGACAACGACTGCGTACAATTTACAATGCGCGGGTGGTGCCGCATGTATATTGTATTTTCAGCCATATCTCACTGTCTCACAGGTCAAGACATATGTACGTTCACCCTATTATGGCATGAGATTATCGTTAACTAATAATTCAGACGGTCTCTGTCTCTGATGACGGAAGTCTTTGCTCATCGGATGACTCAAATGCTTCAACTGGACAATACACTACCCCTATGACAAATGTGGGGTGCGGAGGCGATGGTTGTAGTGCGGCCGGTATGTCTTAAATTTCTTGTACCTCTAATACAACATAGTAGCCACTGACCGCTTCTAGGGATATGGGGAGTATGCTATACTTCTGACTTCGGCGGTGAACAGATCTGCCCTGGCACTAGAGCTTCCTCTTTGCCAGGTATCCAGTGCCCCAGTAACTTTGAAGCCAGTCCAAACGCGCCACAATAGTAAAGCTTGCTTTGTGTGAAGCATGGTGGATGGGGATGGCAACATGCCCAATCGATACTCAATCGCATGGAAATGTTCATTGTAGTTAGTTCATCAAGATTAAACTGTTTTACGCTGTTCTTGAGGTTCTGCCGTGTCATTTTAAACCAGGAACCTTCTTTTGAGAGGGGAGCTTACTTGAGAGGATCTTCTTAAGAGGATATTTATCCTGTGAGACCCGACCTGTTGAGATAAGTGATTGTCTGATTGATTCTAGTAATTAACTAGGAGTTATCTTTTACAGGGGCGGGATACCTCATACATATCTGTTCCCACTTCTTGCCATAAGATTTCTACCGTGGTACTCAACACGACCAGAGAGCAAAAGCCAGACAAGAGGGCTGCATCATATGAAACCCCTCATCGTTCCTTGCCCCTTCTATAACGATCATCCTAGGCCTAGCTTGGACATAAGACTGTATTAGGCTTTCAAAATCCCGCCCCATCGAGGTGTGGTTTTACTAGAACTACACGATTGTATATTTGAAAACGTGATAGGTTTTCCTAGACTAGGA